TTAAGCATGCTCATCTTGGAGACAATGGTTTTGAAAGCCTGAACACCAAGGGGTTTGGTAAAAATATCTGCTACTTGGTCTTGGGAGGGAACAAATTGCAGTCCAATTTTGCCTTGTGCCAGTTTTTCCCGGATGAGATGACAGTCTATCTCTATATGCTTGGTTCTCTCATGTTGAACAGGATTATGAGCTAAAGCTATTGCAGATTTGCTATCTGAAAAAATAGTTATGGAAATAGAATGAGCAATATTAAAATCAGCAAGAAGATAAAGCAACCGTTGAGCTTCAAATGCTGCTGAAGCAAGAGCCCTATACTCAGATTCAGCAGATGATCTGCTGACAGTTTGTTGTTTCTTAGATTTCCATGAAATAAGGGAATTACCAAGAAAGAACGCAAACCCAGGAATACTTCTTCTAGTATCTATACAACCAGCCCAATCACTATCTGAATAAGCATGTAAGGATAAAGAAGAAGTTCGAGGGTAGAAAATACCTTGGCCAACTGTGCATTTAATGTACTTGAGCACCCTATGTGCAGCTGTCAGATGTTGCTGAGTAGGGGCAGTGAGATGTTGACTAAGTGCTTGAATGCAATAAGAAAGATCAGGTCTAGTTATAGTTAAGTAAAGTAATCTGCCAATTAACTGTCTATAAGATTTTGCATCAACAAACTGAGAACTATCAGAACATGCAGAAGTAAGCTTTAAATTAGAATCCATAGGGGTTTGAGCAGGTTTGGAGTCTAAATAACCAGTGTCATGCAAAATGTCTAAGGCATATTTCCTTTGACAAAGATGAATGCCTTTATCAGACTGAGCAACTTCAATTCCAAGCATGTATTTAAGCTTACCAAGGTCTTTGATAGTAAACAGATTATTCAAATGAGACTTAACAGAGTCAATTTCATGCAAATCATCACCAGCAAGTATGATGTCAACAACATAAACAAGCAAAGCAGTAAAAGAACCTGGTTTATTTTTTATGAACAAACTGAAGTCAGAATTGGACTGAGTGTAACCAGAGTTTAGTAAGCAAGAAGTAAGTTTATGAAACCACTGTCTAGAGGCTTGTTTAAGGCCATAAAGACTTTTAACGAGTTTGCAAACTTTGGTAGAATTAGAATCAATGTAACCAGGGGGAGGGGTCATGTATATATCCTCATCAAGATCACCATGCAGGAATGCATTATTTACATCAAGTTGATAAAGAAACCAATTTTTAACAGATGCAATAGCTAAGAGTAATCTCACAGAGGTGATTTTGGCAACAGGGGAGAAAGTATCAAAATAATCAATGCCCTCGTCTTGAGTATAACCCTTAGCCACTAATCTAGCTTTATATCTACCTAGGGTGCCATCTGAGTTGTACTTTACCTTATACACCCACTTACACCCAATGCAATGCTTACCAGGGGGAAGATCTGTAAGAACCCAAGTATTTGTTTTTTCAAGTGCAGTAATTTCAGCATGCATAGCCTTTTGCCAATTAGGATCTAAAACAGCCTGTTTATATGATCTTGGCTCTTTAATAAGGCTAATAGAAGCTGTGAAGCAGGAATGAGATGGATGAAGTCTGTCAGTAGACAAGTGTTTTGATAAAGGATGAATAATGTTTCCAGATGTGATAGTATGTGAATTAGAAACATAGGCATTAGAAAAAGAAGCAGGTAAAGAATGGTTGTATATCTGTAAGTAGGAAGGAGGTTGCCTTTGTCTAGTAGATCTCCTAAGAGGTGGAGTGATAGCAGTTATGTCTGTAGGACATGAAGGTGTAGATAAAGGTATTGTATGATTTGGAGAAGACTGTGGAGGTGAAGATGATTGAGGAATAACAGTGGAAGAAGGTGTGGTATGAGAAGGTGAGGATGGTATATCATGAACAGATGAAGGGGTGGTATGTGGAGGGTGAGGATGATCAATAAATTCAGTAGGGGGAAGAGGGAATAGATTATCAGATAATGATTGAGTAGAGAACATGTCTTTATAGGGAAACACAGACTCATAGAAGATCACATTTCTGGAAATTAATATATGCTTGGTATCCAGGTTGTAAAGTTTAT